GCTGCCCCTGCCGCGCGCCGGCTCCCGCAGCGGCACCCCGGCTCCTCCACGCACCGCAGGCCTCTGCCTAAGCCTGGAGGCCTCGTTCTGTACCGGCCTAAAACAACAACAACAAAAAAAAGCAGGAAGTGAAAAAGAGAAATTGAGAGAGCTTGGAAGGACGTGAGGCGTTTTCGTATATCTTGATCTCCTGCGTAAGATTACTGTTTTGAAGACGGGCTTGTTTCCATAGCGGGGTTTGTTTTGCCCGTCACAAGCGCAGCACAAAGCGGCAGGGGTAGAGGCAGTCCTGCCGCACGCGCGTTCGGAGCCCAGCGCGCCGGGGCTTACCGGGAGAGCCGCTTTGCGGCACGGCCTCGGCAGGACCAGGGAGTCGATCTAGGCCGCTGCTGCTGCTCCGTCGCCTGGAGGCGTTTGGGCCCGCCGTTTGCTTTTCGCGTTGTGTGGGTTGGTTGGTTTGTTTGTTTGTTTAAAGAGCCAGGGGATGGTGGTATAGCAATTTCCATAGCAACTGGCGGGGATGCCATGGCAGGCAGAGTTACGCTATGGAATATGCAATGGGAGCGGATTGTGATCCATGGTAGCTGAAGTGCCACCAGCACCAACTCCCTCGGGAGAAGGCACATGGAGATCGGATCAGAACAGAATCGCTGCAAATCAAAAACTGCCTTTGCTGTCGTGTGCTTGAAGCGTGCTGTGTTTTGGTGACTCCTGTGCTTGCCCTGGGCAAACTTTCCTTGAAAATGCGGGCACCCAGGGCCGTGTGCTGCTGGGGAGGCTCGGAGGCCCCTCTGGGCCCGGGCTCGTCCGCGCGGGTCGGCGCAGAGGGCTGGGGCCGCTCTGCAGCGCTGGCAGCACGAGGCAGCGCCCGCTGTTAGCGCCCGCTTGGGGATGCGGGGGCACGGGAGCGTTTTCGGTCCTTACCCGGCGTTTCATGGATCTAGAGTTGTCCTGGAGGTGGGACAGGGTGAACTCGCAAGCTCGTGGTTCAGAAATGGGAGAATATTGAAATAAAAGTGGGTAACGAAGAGAAGACCGCCCAAACCTGTGTTGTTTTTGTCCTGGGAGCAGTGAAGCTCCGTGTCTGTGGCCTTCGCCTGCCTTCGGAGGCTCGTGGCCACGCTGCTCGTGGGGTGGCCGGTGCCGCGGGGCCGGTG